CCAACCTTTGTCCCCTAATGGGGTAGCGGTGTAGCCTTTAACAGGCTGCAAGGTAAGATTTACTCTTTATGCATCGCGGAGTGATAAAGTCGCCATGGGGGAATTTGTGACGTCATTCAACGCTTTATCTGTTACCAGTCCTCATTTATTTGCGATTCATGCTGAGAATGCAGTGTTTTGCCAATTATTTAGTCCGTAGCGTGCGACGTACTTTTTATCTCTTCTTTGAACATTATACCTTATACACCACTGTCTGGGAAGCCTGCTTTATATGAAACTGACACAAACACAACCGAATTAACTTTCATTAGGATGAAGTTGGCCTCAGATTTTGGAAAATTATTTAAATGATGGTATTTAGAGGGAGGCAAATGGGGTTTCTAGAGGCACTCTGAGATCTGGGCAAATGCAGTAACAGCGGTAGTTTGGTTGTCCGCAACTGCCTAACAGGTAGTTGCGCCTTCAAATTTTTCTAATCAAGCGGAATTTCGTGGAATTTATTTCACACTCTATTCCCAAGCCCGATGACGAAGTACACAAAGAAGATCTTTTGAACGTCACGACGCGGTTGTAGAGATGATCCTGAACATGTCCTTCGCAACATCACATGTGGGCGATGATGGTGGGGAAATGTTTCTCTTCGCCGAGTCTGTCCTCGTTCAAGACTTGCCACGTGTTTCTGGCCTGACGTAAGCTGCTCAAGGTGGTTTTTAGTGTGACCCACTTGCCCGAACAAGAGCAATCGAAAAGATGGCTACCGGATAACCTTCTTCTGAAAGGATGTTCAAAGTGCAAGACAAAGAGACGCCGAAATCACTGTCGAGAGAGGGCCTTTCTGTACCCCGGAGGCGACTAGCGATCTCCTCAAGACCATAGTTCTGCCAAACACCTCGGGAAACTTTTTTACTCTCACGGGTAACTATTCCGCTCCAGGGACAAAGCCAGGGAAGGTGCGAGTACCACACTCGATGAAGACCTGCACCCTCCCCTCTCCAGTTTATTAACGATCTTTTGATCTTCGTTGATGGCCGTGTCTGTCTGGGCCCAGACCACGCTTTATGGAGGGAGTATCGCAGGGGGTTTAGTAGTTTAAACCCTAGCAACTGCGATCTTCAGGCCCGGTTCCTTAGGAGACGAGAAAACACGAGGGGCCAAAGTGTAAGGAACAATTTATTCTGTACAGAAGGAAGTGGGGAAGAGGCAGTAGAAAACTGACCGTCAGACGAGCAAACAACCACCGGCCAGCGGGGCGCGTCAGAAGTGAAGAGATCGTAGAGAATTGCTAGAAGCCCAGCACATGCTTTGTTCCTGCAGCCAACGAGGAAATGGTGCACCTTGGTTGGCTCCAGTTCTCATGGAGCTAATGCCTAGTCTCACAAATTGAGGCACATCCCAGGTATTTTTATAGAAGAAGAAAACGTTTCGATCACCAGAATTATAATTGTATTCTTCTGAGCTTTCGGACTCTTGCGGAAGTCCATCGTCAGAGATAAAAGCGTCAACGCAAAACAAGCAACAGTTATGGGGGATAGGAGCCTATAAATCGTTATAAGGGGGAGGGGGAGCGAGGGGGAACTACTTAATCAACTGTGTCGAACGTGCGGATATGCCTGCGGAGGGCGATATATGCGGGCGCCAGCTCGATACATTGGTTGACTGAGTTTTAATCCTGTCCCATTGCAGGCGTGGGCAGTTATCCTCGCGGCCGCGAAGTTAAATTCGTGGCCCGTCTCATAGGGGTGGGCAGTTTCTAACGAAAATGCATCACCCCATCTGACATCCAGTTTATGTTCGTGTATGCGCAAACCAAGCATGCGCATCTAGCCTGTCCTGTGTAATTTCGAAGACAGTAAAGACATGGCATGCAATACACTACGCCCCACTGCACACTGGTCGCGGATAGATCTGGCCTCCCGTGCTTTTTCTTTCGGTCTATTGCAGTAAGTCCGGATTCTTTTGAACAGCGTTCTAACGCAACTTCGTTTGTTAGCCACGGGATGGTTGCTGTGAAAGTTGAGAAGCTGTGTGGTGTTCGTCGCCTTCCTGAAAACCGTTGTTTCTATATCGCCATTTGAAGCTTGCATGACGAGAAGATCTAGTTAAGATCTAGTTAGTTCTGCAGCGTATTTCTTTTGACGATAAAAAACGTGTCGTCGACGTAACGGCGTTGTTCCGGTGATCGAAACGCTAATACCAAGACTCGCAGTAGTGG